TCACTTACTTCCTTAACAGCAAGAGTTCTTGTCATTTCTGACACAAACAACAAATCACGATCTGCAGGATTTAGTACATACTTATGTGTGCATGGGTGTGTGTCACAGGATAAACACACTAAGGCAAATTGTGCTGGTAAAGTGACAGGCATGTCTGCAATTGTCCAATCAAATACATCCTGAAATTGAGAAAAAATGTTTATAAAATCATGTTATATTACATAGTTCGGCTGCCGCGTACATTTATATTAAACAATGCCACTAAATTGTATTAAATAGTATACAGAAAATAAGGAGTCTAATTATTCGAGAGACTCTTAGGTATTTAAGTTGTCAACATCAAGCAGATTATACTCAATAGTCAGCTCTGAATATATATCCCAAACAAATCTCACTGATGCGATGCAAATACACATGCACATGTTTAAAACATGCATATTAAATACTAGTTCAATTCACCAAAAACAAGTCATTGAAAATAATACAGTCCCCATTAAATTTGTTGTGCTCGTCATATTTAAGCGGAGGGATTGTTGCGCATGGCAAATACAACAGATTGTTTATTTACATCATATTCGAACACGTGTTGCGTGACGACCCCTCCGGTTTAAGACATAGCAAAGAAAAACATAGATCACAAGTGAAAATAAAACAAATTGAGGTGCATGTCTATGTTATTGCACTTGCTAAAATAAATCCTTACATGGGGCTTACAATGTTAACATACGTGTAATGACCGATTCTAGGATAGGGAATACAGCAATTGTAACTTTTTGTAATTGTATTGTTAGTTCTGGACTAAGGTGGCTAATAGACCCTTTGTGCAAGTCAAGCACCCTTTGGTGTTGAATAATATAGTGAAGGCAGTGTCCTCAAATTTGCAGTTTTAATAAAGTTCAAAATAATGCGTTGAATACAATTCATCGTTTGTCATGCCTCTAATTTAAATTCACATGGCAGGGGGTGTTAAACAATAGTGGACTATTTGTGAATTACACTTGCCCATCTACATTATAAAATTAAAAGAACCCCCCCCCCCCAGGGGGAATAGCTTGTCAGTTTATTAGTGTAAAACGTTCATATCTTCATAACTATATCTGAGAGACGAAAAGCAATCTCAGACAAAATGCAGTAAGACATGTAATTGGTGAAACAAACATTAGCATGTGAATCACCCTTGAGGGTGAATGACAAGCGTAAAGCATAGGTCAGATTAACTGGCATGTCAAAAAAAAACACCAACATTCAGAGTAAGCTAGGCATAGGCCCGATTCAAAAATGTCTAAGCATGTCAAAGTTATCACATTTTGAAACAAACAAGATGGCCGCCAGTCGGCCATATTTGATCAAATTGCAAATTGAATTGACATGAATCCATTTATGGCATGCTAAATATCAATGAATATCAAAGAAAGCTTAGAAAAAACTCCCATGTGCTGAGAGTATTGGAAACACATTAAAACTATTCAAAAATACTTGTACTAATAATGCAAATCAGAAAATTAATATGAACAGATTTGAGTGTAAAACTAATGAGGTCAGCGCAATGTAACAGACCATCTATGTACCAAGTTTTATTGAAATGTGATTAGAACCAAAAAATTATGAATTATTATGCTAATCAGGGAATTAATATGAACAGATTTTAACCCCAATCAGCTTTGTACATTTTTCTTGAGTATTTTTGCACTAAGTGTCATTGAAATGGAATAATTAGTACTTTAGATATCAGTGTGATAGCTTAAAATTGGTCAATTATTCAAATTAGATAATTAATATGTACAGATTTTAATCCACAACTAATCAGGTCTGTCTATTGTCCTATATCAGTGGAAAAGCTGAAAATTAATTAATTATGCAAATTAGGTAATTAATATGTACTGATATTACCCTAAAAACTATCAGGTCTGTGCAGTGTCATATGACATCTATGTACCAAGTTTCATTGAAATGTGATGATTAGTACTTGAAATATCAGTGAAAACAAGCCATGCATGGCACTGTCCCCGTTAGGTATCAAATTTACGATATATAGTTTTATTTATAGTAATAAAGCTGGAATATAACCATGTCAGGAATATGTTTTTTTAACATTAAAATGATTGACATTTGTATCTGATCGTCAAAAAAGTACTTGTCTATATTGAGAAATATTGCTCTGGAACAGCATTTAAAATCAGCCATTTTGAATACATGTATATATATAACATGATGTATAACGAATATATAAAATTTGAATATATAATGTGTCAAAGCAATTAAGAGATATGACTCTAGAAGCTCATTCATTAAAACAAAATGGCCGCCAGACAGCCATTTTGAATCCGATATGAAAAATATATGATGTGCATCAGGAACCTGTAATGTCTAATATATGTACCAAGTTTGAACACAATCCATCCATAAATGCTTGATATTTGATGATTTTTTAGCACAAAAATGGCCACCATTTAGCCATTTTGAATAGGATCATCAAACCAATATATCCGTCTATCTATAACATGATGTATAATGAATATTTAAAATTTGAACATAATCAGTGAAAGCAAATCAGAGATATGGCACGAGAACCACATTCATTAAAACAAAATGGCCGCCAGTCGGCCATTTTAAATCTTATCTGAGAAACAAAATTATTTGCATCAAGTCCAACGTATATACAAGGTTTGAACAAAATGCATCTGTAAACAGCTGAAAAATGTTTGATTTTGATGATTTTTAGCACAAAAATGGCCGGCATTCGGCCATCTTGAATCAGATCGTGAAACAAATTGACGTGCATATGTATAATATCATGTATGATGTATGTTTGAAGTTTGATTGTGATTGGTACAGGCATTTCTAAGATGCAGGTCCGAACATATGCACAGATGCACACACGGAGGTCAAAACATAAGTCCCCGTTTTCGGACTGCGTCCGAACAGGAACTAAAAACGAAAATTGACTAATCATTATGCAAATTAGTTTATTAATATGCACGGATTTTCACCCAAAACTAATCAAAACCTAGCATTAGTTCAGAACATCTATGTACCAAGTTTCATCAAAATCCAATGAGTGGTTGTTTAGATATCAGTAGAACAATCATGGAACAGCTAAAAATTAGCTAATTATCATGCAAATTAGGTAATTAATATGCATGGATTTCTACCAAAACCTAATCAAATCTGCGCATTGACCCATAGCATCTATGCACCAAGTTTCATCAAAAACCAATGTATGGTTCTTAAGATAGAAGTGCAACAGACGGACATACATACAGACACACTAACTGCAAAGACTCCCATTATGTGCTTCGCACATGGGAGTCAATGATACATGGGTGACAGATATATAGTACTATTGCCGAAAAATAAAAACAGCTGTTTTTCAACCATTTTTGATCTGATTATGAAACAAACTGACATGTATGATGTATGTGCCAAATATGAATGAAAATGGTACATAAATCTTGGAAATATAGTAGTAAGGCCAAAAAGTCAGATGGCTGTCAATCGGCAATCCTTGGTCTGATTTTCACAGAAATTGTAATGGACATGTATACTAACAGTCGGCCATTTTTAACTCGCTAAACCACTGTACTTCGCCTGAACGGGGACTAATTAAAAGCAACATAAAATTTTGATTTTGCAAGTTTTGGCTACTAAATTCTTAAATACAAGCATGTGTCATTTACCTTTACAACATCTAAATGGCGGAACGGTCTTTCAATAACATTGTTATTATACTCAACAGATAAAGTTATTCGTCTCTCATTTACTGAAGGAAATACTAGAGCCTTCATCCTTTCTTCTGCTGTCTGTGAATATAAAATAAACCCATTAAGAAATAATCATGAGGGTTTACACAGCTCAGATGATCTGTTAAGGTTGAATAATGAGTGCAAAAACAAATTGAATTGAGCCATATCTCAAGGTATATTTTCAAAATTCAAAAGGAAAGTTACCTGTTTTCTTTCTTCAAGTTTCTTCTCCAAAATGTCCTTATATAAATAGATATAGATAGTAATTGAACATTTGAGGTCATATTTAACAAAATACAATTATTTACAGTGGCAGCAATACTGTAAGTGTGTTTGACAGGAAGCTAATACAATAATTCTGCAAATTCAAAATCACAAAATCAATGGAAAACACAATGTTTTCCGAAAAACAGAATGCATTCTACCTGTATAGCTGCAGCACTGCTTGTGGGCGGGACTTCAGTACCAGCTTCCAGGACATTAAGTATTTCATCAATCTGATGCTCATCTTCATCTTCCAAATTTATTTCCACTAACTCATTCACAGCATATGCAGCTTCCTCCTCCTCAACAATCTGAGCCATGCTCATATCACTTTCCTCAATACCTATGTCGTTGTTCACAGCATCTAATTGGTTAATATTATCCATCACCTCAACATTCTGAGCCAAGCTCTTGTCAATAGTGGGACTGTTCCCATCATCTGTGAAAATGCTCTCATCACTCTGGTCAGTGCTCTGCAACTTAAGTCATAATGAATTATCATTATAATTTCAACAATAATAAAATGCGTATCAACATATTTTCTATAAAACTAGTTTTGCAAGATTATTTATCAAACAATATCTTAAATTAAAATTGTATATGGCTATTATTTAGCATATGTCTGAGCATCAAAAATAATTGACATGATAGTTTACCTCTTCTTCTTTGTCGTCAGTACTGCGCCGTTTCGCAAGGAAACGTTTACTTAGTTCTGCCCTTCCTGTAGTAAAAAAGGAAACTAAGCATCAAACAGAACACCAATACAGATTTCTCAGTGAATATGATTTTTCTGTGAAAAAAACGAGGTACACATGTTGTGGTTTGCTGTAAATGAATTTGACAGTATGACAAAAACAGTTTTATATCAGTACTGATACTTTACAAGGATAATTAGCTATGTGTGTGATGTATTATAGTGTATGTCCAGTGACTATAACTAACCTGTCCCAGGCGCATACATGTACACATTCCACTTTGTTGATGGTGTCCTTGCCCTGGCATGCTTGTCAGCCAGCATTTGGTAAGTATATAGAGATGGCTTAGGTAACTTTTCAAACTCGCCAACAGCATTAAGAAGGTAGGGTACAAAGTGCACATTTGGTTTGAAGGCTTCTGACGTTAACACCATCCACTGTTCAGCATTTGAAGTGGTTTTGACATGAATGGGAATGTAACCAACTTTCCCTATGTCAGTGCAAAATGATTTTCTTACCAACTTCAAAGTGCCCAATACTTTTTCCAATATTTTAACATGCAATACCTGTAACAATAATCCAACAAAATAATGAAATAATAAATGAATTAATGACAAAAGATGAGTAAAAAACAAAACAGATAAAAACATATTTACCTTTGTCACTGCTTTATTATGTTTTGGGGCCAATGCCTTTGACGTCAATCTTCTTTTTCTACTTTCTTGAAGTTTGTCTTCAAACTTCAGTTTAAGCACATTAAGGCTCTCCTGTGCTTCTATAATTTCGAATTAAATAAAAAAAAGACATTATTTACAATAGCCTTGTACAATGTGTGTACAGTCTTGAGCAACTATGGTGTATCATGGAACTACAAACCGCAGGAAGAACAACAGTTTTTTGACCCTTTGATCTTATTTGCGTAGCCGATATTTGCTTTCTACTTCAGATTTATCAGATAAATCTAACTTGTTTACAAGGGCTCATACCACTAATTGAATTTCCAGACGACAATGTTAACATATGATGAACAAATTTGAAAACATGGCTTATATATGATCTTATATATGATGGAATATCATTAGACGGTAGTTTTCCATGCAGAAAAAATCCCCAAAATTTAAACCCTGAGAGTTATTTATCAAAATCTACCACTTGGTGGCGCCCTATACCCATACAATTAGTTGTAGAAAGTGGCAACATACACACTCAGCATAACACCAAATTAGATGGTAGGCAATGAATATAAGCCTGATTATTAGATGCAGTACTGTAAGGTATAATGTTCTCATTCACCACAAACAAGTACAGACCAACATTTGGCATGATTAGTAATTTTAATTAATTTCTAAAAATAATACATAGAATTATGACAATTGAAGGTAGTTTATCACTATAATTATAACAAAAAAATTTCTACTGAATCATTATTCATTATAGCTCATTATTTCTCCAATTAATTAAAAACAAAAAAACAATACCAGGGTATCTGCATTTAAGCCAGAGACACATGCCGGGCAACCTTGGATATACCAAAACACAACAGTGCTTTGAGTTACCATGGCCACACATGGAATTTGCTCTACATTAAAAGTTTAATTGAATCTTATGTGAAAAAAAAGTAGTTCAACGAAACAATTTTATGATTTAAAAAGAAATAAAAATAAAAATATACAAACAAGAAAAGGGTCTAGATATAAAATACTTGTATTACACATCCCTGATCAAATTAAATTCAAATCAACAGGATTTCTGATTAATTGGGGGGGGGGGGGGGGGCTACAAGCACTGTTCAATAATAAACTCAAGATGGGATTAATTAGCAAAGTATTCACAACAATTCTGAGAAAAAAAACAATAATTGTGAAATTGAATGAGTTGTAATACTTGGCTAATATACTGACAGTATGCAAATCTCTTGTCAGTGACAAGATACACAACACAATTTTGAGAATTTATTTGAATATTTGGAAATTTGACCACATTAAACTTTGAACAGGGTACATTAGTAATGATCGCACTACAAATTGTTAAGATTGTCTGCCATAATGTGAAAATAAGACAAAAAAAACCCATAAAATGGTGTTAAGCATTTTTCTCAAAATTCCTAGAGCCATTCAAATTAGTGGCGACATGAATAATTCATTGATGAATGAATAACATTTTTGAACCACTTTAATAAAAACATTTATATTTACAGACCACAGCCCAACCGAAATCCAATTCATAAGATTAGGGCAAAAAATATACCAAATTACAAATTTTCAAAATCTTCAACCAAGATATAAGAGATTGCAGCAATAGGTGAAACGCATAGCAAAATATGACATTTCTGGATACAAAATTACTCCATTGTGTCTAAATAGTTGAATACAAAGCAAGAAAAGTGGTAAAATAAAAAAAGATTCCCAGTTACTTTGCACTACACCTGCTAAATAATTAATCTCTTTTTTTACACATGGAAACAGCTACACAGTTCTGTTGAAAGAAATTTTAAGACAAAAGACATAAGCCTATTAACTGAACTAAAACAAAGGGTGTTTTAATCTTCTTTAATCCCTGTTCTTCCTGGGGTTTGTAGTTCCAGGGAGCTGTAATAGTAGTTCCATGGGTGTATATAAAATGATTATAAAACATAAAGGCTAACATTAATCACGTAAATATGGACTCAAGGCCACATAGTATTTATAAAACATAA